AGGCTGAAGACTCAATGGCTTAAAGAGCCTCCAAGGTACAGACGAGTGTGCAGCAAACATGATAGCCCAGAGAGTTATCTGGAGACAGACAACATTGTAATAGACAAAATAGCCCAGAGAGGCACCTAGAGACAGATGACATTGCTTGAGGCAAGATAGCCCAGAGAGCCATCCAGATTTTTTATCATCTTATAGAATGGGCTAGCGCCCAGGTGCCGCCGACCCCCCTAATTGGAGGGGGGTACTGTAGAGAGAGGGAGGGAGACGGACAGCAAGACAGACATATGGCCGTTTACTTCTCAAGCCTGTGGCCTTGTCGTCGCTTTTGCGTGCGGGCGTGGCGCCTGTTGGGGTACCTTTTGCATCGGAGTTGGGCGGACTTTTGGAGGAGTTGGAAGGTTTGGAGGGTTTAACGCCTATAAGAAGCCATTGCTGCGGCCGTGGGGTGCCCTTGAGCCATTGCTGTGGCCTTGTGGTGGCTTTTGCGTGCGGGAGTGGCGCGTGTTGGGCTTGTTGGGGTACCTTTTCCCTGCGGAGCTGGGCGGACTTTTGGAGGGTTTGGAGGGTTTGGAGGGTTTGGAGCGTTTGAGGCCTGGCAAACGGCAGCCTTGAACGCGTATAAGAAGCCATTTCTGCGGCCGTGGGGTGCCCTTGAGCCATTGCTGTGGCCTTGTGGTGGCTTTTGCGTGCGGCAGTGGCGCGTGTTGGGCTTGTTGGGGTACCTTTTCCCTGCGGAGCTGGCCGGACTTTTGGAGGTTTGGAGGGTTTTGGAGGGTTTTGGAGGGTTTGAGGCCTGGCAAACGGCAGCCTTGAACGCGTATAAGAAGCCATTGCTGCGGCCGTGGGGTGCCCTTGAGCCATTGCTGTGGCCTTGTGGTGGCTTTTGCGTGCGGAGTGGCGCGTGTTGGGCTTGTTGGGGTACCTTTTCCCTGCGGAGCTGGCCGGACTTTTGGCGGGTTTGGAGGGTTTTGAGGGTTTTGGAGGGTTTGAGGCCTGGCAAACGGCAGCCTTGAACGCGTATAAGAAGCCATTGCTGCGGCCGTGGGGTGCCCTTGAGCCATTGCTGTGGCCTTGTGGTGGCTTTTGCGTGCGGGAGTGGCGCGTGTTGGGCTTGTTGGGGTACCTTTTCCTTGCGGGGTACCCCTTTTCCTTGCGGAGCTGGCCGGACTTTTGGAGGGTTTGGAGGGTTTTGGAGCGTTTGAGGCCTGGCAAACGGCAGCCTTGAACGCGTATAAGAAGCCATTGCTGCGGCCGTGGGGTGCCCTTGAGCCATTGCTGTGGCCTTGTGGTGGCTTTTGCGTGCGGCAGTGGCGCGTGTTGGGCTTGTTGGGGTACCTTTTCCCTGCGGAGCTGGCCGGACTTTTGGAGGGTTTGGAGGGTTTTGGAGGGTTTTGGAGCGTTTGAGGCCTGGCAAACGGCAGCCTTGAACGCGTATAAGAAGCCATTGCTGCGGCCGTGGGGTGCTCTTGAGCCATTGCTGTGGCCTTGTGGTGGCTTTTGCGTGCGGGAGTGGCGCGTGTTGGGCTTGTTGGGGTACCTTTTCCTTGCGGAGCTGGCCGGACTTTTGGAGGGTTTGGAGGGCGGACTTTTGGAGGGTTGGGAGGGTTTTGGAGGGTTTTGGAGGGTTTTGGAGCGTTTGAGGCCTGGCAAACGGCAGCCTTGAACGCGTATAAGAAGCCATTGCTGCGGCCGTGGGGTGCTCTTGAGCCATTGTTGTGGCCTTGTGGTGGCTTTTGCGTGCGGGAGTGGCGCGTGTTGGGCTTGTTGGGGTACCTTTTCCTTGCGGAGCTGGCCGGACTTTTGGAGGGTTTGGAGGGTTTTGGAGCGTTTGAGGCCTGGCAAACGGCAGCCTTGAATGCGTATAAGAAGCCATTGCTGCGGCCGTGGGGTGCCCTTGAGCCATTGCTGTGGCCTTGTGGTGGCTTTTGCGTGCGGGAGTGGCGCGTGTTTGGAGGGTTTTGGAGCGTTTGAGGCCTGGCAAACGGCAGCCTTGAACGCGTATAAGAAGCCATTGCTGCGGCCGTGGGGTGCTCTTGAGCCATTGCTGTGGCCTTGTGGTGGCTTTTGCGTGCGGGAGTGGCGCGTGTTGGGCTTGTTGGGGTACCTTTTCCTTGCGGAGCGGGCCGGACTTTTGGAGGGTTTGGAGGGTTTTGGAGGGTTTTGGAGCGTTTGAGGCCTGGCAAACGGCAGCCTTGAACGCGTATAAGAAGCCATTGCTGCGGCCGTGGGGTGCCCTTGAGGCATTGCTGTGGCCTTGTGGTGGCTTTTGCGTGCGGCAGTGGCGCGTGTTGGGCTTGTTGGGGTACCTTTTCCCTGCGGAGCTGGCCGGACTTTTGGAGGGTTTGGAGGGTTTGGAGGGGTTTGGAGGGTTTTGGAGCGTTTGAGGCCTGGCAAACGGCAGCCTTGAACGCGTATAAGAAGCCATTGCTGCGGCCGTGGGGTGCCCTTGAGCCATTGCTGTGGCCTTGTGGTGGCTTTTGCGTGCGGCAGTGGCGCGTGTTGGGCTTGTTGGGGTACCTTTTCTGCGGAGCTGGCCGGACTTTTGGAGGGTTTGGAGGGTTTTGGAGGGTTTTGGAGCGTTTGAGGCCTGGCAAACGGCAGCCTTGAACGCGTATAAGAAGCCATTGCTGCGGCCGTGGGGTGCCCTTGAGCCATTGCTGTGGCCTTGTGGTGGCTTTTGCGTGCGGGAGTGGCGCGTGTTGGGCTTGTTGGGGTACCTTTTCCTTGCGGAGCTGGCCGGACTTTTGGAGGGTTTGGAGGGTTTTGGAGGGTTTTGGAGCGTTTGAGGCCTGGCAAACGGCAGCCTTGAACGCGTATAAGAAGCCATTGCTGCGGCCGTGGGGTGCCCTTGAGCCATTGCTGTGGCCTTGTGGTGGCTTTTGCGTGCGGCAGTGGCGCGTGTTGGGCTTGTTGGGGAACAAGAGAGGGCTCAGTGCAGGCAAAGGGCAGGTTGCAATGCTGGAACGCTGACGGCCAGAGAGCTTGGTGGCAGCTGCCGCGAGGTGGCAGCTGCCGCGAGGGATGTGCAGGCAAAGGGCAGGCTGCAACCCTGGAACAGCAAAGGCTGCCGGCCAGAGGGCGTGGTGGCAGCTGCCTCGAATGCCCTAACGAGAGAGGGCTATGTGCGCGGAAAAGTTCCACACCTGCGGTGGTCCCAGGCGCCGCCCCGGCCTTGGCGAAGGCCGGGGTCGGCGGATATATATATATATATATAGTATATTAAATTAGATCAGATTATGATGTGGGTTTGTCCAAAAATGATGGATCTACACCAATTCATGGCAATTTTGATGGCACATCCCTTATGCAGGAAGGGCACCCAAAAAGTGATGTTTGTTGCTTTATAACCACATGAAACTATAGATACATCATGATACATTCATTGGATAATGATAGTGGATAACAATGGGAAAACTATGGGATAGTGGTGGTTTTTCGAGTGGTTTTTCTAGTGTTTTTTCTGGGTGCTTAATCCCCACAGATCCAATTCCTAGCCTAGTTCTAGACCAATAGAAACCTAAAGCGTTCGGGGTATCGAATCCGCGGCGACTTCGCCAGCCAAGACTGCCTCAATTCTCCCATCTGGATGGACAATTGAAAAACCGGGATTAATCGGATGTTGGCAAGTCTAAGAGCAACCAGTGGATGGAATGGGGATTACCCTATTTTCAAACAACCCTATCTCATTGGTGGTTTGTGTTTTTCTATCCCAGTTTGACGCACAGTGCTTTCTTTGAATCTCAAACATTTTGATGTGCGAGACTCATGCGACGCCCCTTTTTTGGAGGGTACAATTGGAATCTTATCTCACAAACCAGCCTTTTTCAGAGTGAACGAACAGATTTGCATGTGCATCCCGGTCAGTAAGTGGGTTTCTAATCTCATCTAATCTCAATAATGAATTATAGATGGACATATCCCATATACAAATGGGTACAATATGGTTATATAATTTATACGTGTATTTTTTCATCGGAAATGGACATCAAGTGGTCAGGAACAGTAGATCCTTCTGAAACGTTTTTTTTTTGAGGGGCCTTTTGACGAAGATCCATAAACGGCGGAGACATTTTGATGTGAAAATGCCATGGTCAAAACTTGGGGTAAATGAACCATGATGGCCATTGATTCCCGTGGGATGGATGATGATAGCTCATTGATCCAGGATCCAGTGACCCAGTGACCGTGGTACATATATCCATCATGAAAACATCCATTGGTCAGAAATATCTCCCTTTCATACTGGTTAGGATTCATGCAATTTTCAAGAAAAAAACGATGCATACAAGGTGGTGCCCGCCCAGTGATGTTTGTTGGTTTGTCACCCCCATTAAGTAGTTATATCTACCATAAACCAAGTTATTGGAGCTATAAACCACCTTAGCTAACGAGCTGGGGCACCAGATTATGTTCCCCATTGAGATCTCCATTGAGTGGATAAATTCCAGCCACGTGAACGATGACCGGAGGGTACCATAAATGGTGAACTAACATAGCTACTTGGTGGCTCATCCCACTTACTAAGTGGGTTATGTCCCTGGTTATAAGTGGGATAAGTAAGGTTTAATCCTCTTATAACTGGGGTTATAACTCACTTGGTAAGTGGGATGAGCCACTAAGTATGGAACATCATCATGTTTAACAGGTAAATCAACAAACTAAAGAATAACGGCTATTTTCAATAGCAAAGTGTAACAAATTACCGGAGGGTATCTCCATCTTATGTTAGCTCCATGTTTGCTATCTCCCAGTGATTGAGACTAGTGACTACATAACCTGGTTGGTGGTTTCAAACATTTTTTACTTTCCGTAATATATGGGATGTCATCCTTCCCATTGACTTTCATATTTTTCAAGATGTCATCCTTCCCATTGACTTTCATATTTTTCAAGATGGTTAAAACCACCAACCAGTAACTTTTCAATAGCAAGGTATCTCCCAGTCTTCAGCTAGTTATTTCATGCTCTCTCCATCTTTCGAGTCGACGCAAAATCTCCAGGCGCTGTCCACCTTCGAAGTGGAACATGGTTTTGTGCAGGCAGCAACACCATCGAAACGACATGTGGATGAGAATGGTCGGTTGTGGCAATTCTTTAACGGTTGATTTCTCTGTTTTTGTGTTTATGCTTGGTGTGCAATATGATTGCTTGTTACTCAATCATGATTGTGGTTGGTTGGGCTGGGGAAATTGTAAGGTGCATAGCTCATGAAGAATCTATACTCCCTAGAAAACAGAAAACCAGAGTTTAGTATTACCATCTGGTTATTTAACATAGCCATGGCAAATCACCATTTTTAATAGGTAAACCTCTATAAATGGGCCATTTCCCATGGCTATGTTAGTCATAACCAGAGGGTACATCTATCTGGATGAATTATGATGACACGTCATGACGCAAATGATGTTTGGTAGAATCATCCCCAAAATGGCCGAACCTTTTTTAAAGCTATGTTCAGGTGAATTATGACCAAAAACCAGAATCTGCCAGATTTTGGCCCTGTGTTTCCATGATGACATGTAGTAAATGTATAGTACATGTCCTAAACCAGTCAAAGAGGTTGCAGTCTTTCCCATTTTTTTTTTGGATGTTCAAAAGGTGACCGAGATCCGCCCAACTCCGGCTAAGCTCAGCGCGTGACCGATGGGTCGACTGGCAATTTTGTACTGGCGTAACATCTGGTGTCCGAGATTTAAACCCAATGAACAAAAAAAACCAAATAAACACAATTATTTGATATTATTTGAATAATTTGTGTTGGGTTGCAGCCAACCAAACGGTACAGACATGTTTTGTTTGTGGTTTGAGGTTCGCATCACTTTGGTGCGTTCGCTCACACGTTTCGTCCCTCATAGATGCCTTGTTGCAAGGCTGAAGAGAAGAAAAGGCGCAGCCTTGCTGGGCAGGGTGGGTTTGAAGTGAATACTGTTGGATACTGTTGGATAAATCACGGTAAATGGTTGGTGAAAATAGGTGAATAAATTAAATTTTGAACATCGGTATCATACTTGGATCATTCCAGTAAGTTTTACTAGAAACCAGGGCCTTCGTACTTTTCTCTAAGTAGGCTATAGTAGGCTTATCCTGTTTACAAGTGGGTGATAACCAATGATATCCTACTGATTATCCAATAAGGGGGTGGTACTCCAAGTAGATCCGGACAAATTTATAGGTATCCAGGCGCCCTGGGAGTGAAAGAGAGTCACTTGGAAGTGAGGGAGTTTTGAGGGTTTATCTCATGCACATATGGTATCATATGGTCATATCATGTGAAAAAAATGGTCATCCATATATCGTTTTGAGGTTTTAACTGGTATATGGTTATAGACAATCTCAGTTAAAATTGGTTTATATCCATTAACCATATTCTGCACCAGTTATGTGAATTAACGAAGTATCCCGATTCTTGAGGGGTCAGAAACCGCGTGTACAATTTCTGGCACATCCAAATAGCTTTCAGGGGATGCAACTGACAAATACAAGATAGGTCAAATTCATTGTTGTGTTTATTGCTGGGAGGGTAGTGACTAACATCCAGACATCATCCAAGTCTGTGTTTTCTTGATCCATGGTTTGGAAAGCATGTAGAATCTGTCAATCTTTGGTGAACATCTAAAATGAATGAAACAAAATTCGATTCCAATAATCTCATGCCCCGTTCTTATTCAATACCCGCATTCGATGGTCGCAGTATGTCGCAGTCATATGATGTGATGGAAAAATCCCTTGGAGGATCATCCCACTTAGAAACTGATTGGGGGGTTGTAACCCACTTATACAGGAGATAACCCCAACATTTATGGGGGATTCCATAGTCACGGGGTACCCCAAGGGTACCCCAATAGCTCGCTGGATGATGCCAGGATGGCCAGGATGGCCAGGTTAGAGGCTACTTCTTGGATAGTCCATGTCCAATTTAATGCTAATTTAGTGGTGATTCAATAGTGATTTAATGGTGATTTTTCAGCAATCCGAAAATCCTGATGATTTTTCTTGGATTAGCAAAGGATTGTTTTTATTCATGGGAAATCCACTGGAAATATGGGGAATCTATAGGGATCTTTTTTTTTTGAGGACCTATTAGTCAAATCCAAGTGTTCTGAATCGGATTTCCCATTGCTTTACCATTCAGATTGCAGGAGGCTACAGCGACAGGAACTTCTGCAATGGTTTCCTAGTTCAGCGGTTCATCGGGTTATGGGGAGTCAAGGTGTTCTTTGTGGTGTCCTGGCCATGGGAAAATCATTGAAGATCTGGTGCTGATTCTCCACTTTCTTCCAGTCTTTTTCGGTCCAATGGACCCACAAAAAGCCAGCCATCCCAGCCTGCGCCTACCGCGCCGTCTGCGTAGGAAAGAGCCGCCCACTGAAGCCAAAGAGCCCGAGAAGAAGGCGCGATGACCTCCGCAGCGACCGTGGGGGATGACCTCCGTGGACTGGTAGCTTCACAGAACTACAATGTGGGGCCCCGCAGTGATGTGAACGTTGGTTTATAAACCCCATGAATACTATAGTTATAAGTATGATAAACCATAGTTATTGGGGTTACAAACCAACTTACTTATCTTGGGGGCCCCACATAACTATGGAAAACCACTACGTGAAAAAATGGCAAACACTCGATCAATACGGCAATTTTCCACAGTTATATTAGATTACCGGAGCATATTCTAAAGAAACAACTCTATATACCCTCTGGTAATTTAACATAGCTATTGAAAATTGCCATTTATAGTGGATTTTCCCATTAAAAATAGTGATTTTCCATAGCTATGTTAAATTACCAGAGGGTATATATATATATAACTAATGTAACTCTATGTAATCGATCTAAAGAAAAACTGATGTGTTGTTGTTCAATCACCAGAGGGAATTCGACAGTCCTTTGCTCTGAACTTTTTCCACAGGAGAAGAAGTCCAAAGAAGACGGTGAAAAGTCCCGCAATAAGGAGCCACCAATGGCTTGGGGCACCCCATTGGCACCGCGCTTGGTGTTTTTTTTTTGTTTTTTTTTCAGGTTATAAGCCACTAATCTAAGTGGGAGATATCACACATACTGGGTGAAAGCCCTTTCTTGTCTCAGATAGCACTTTGTTGTCTCATCTCGGTGTGCCATGCGGAAGAAGTGACACAACCACTGGAATGAATTACTACATGATTTGTTATTTGGTATGATCTTTACAGCACAACGCATAGGCACGCAGGGATTCTTAACATGGCAAACATTAGTTATATCAAGTTATATCCATTTGCCCCCTAACAATCCCTGGAGCAACGTGAGTTGCCCACACAGTGTGTACACACTCGGGGGTCTTGTGATCGGTCCTCCTCCTCCTCCTTTTCCTCCTCCTCCGCCTCCTCCGCCTCCTCCTCCTCCTCAGTATCATCATCTTCCTCCTCCTCCTCCACATCATCATTCTCAGCATCATCCTCGTCCTCCCCCTTGACATCATCATCCTCAACATCGTCATCCTCCACCTCATTTTCTGCAACATCCTCCTCCTCCACCCCCTCTTCCGCAATATAAATTATCATCCTTTTCATAGCTAAATGCAAGCTAGGGACATGATTCAAAGTTTGCAACGACTTCAAAACATGATGCATCTGAGCCGCTGTGCCTTGGGGATTTGAAACCTGGGGTAACTATTGTTTGCCCTGGGGTAACTCGGTGTGCCTTGCGGATGGGGCAACTACTAGGTGGATGGGGTAAGTAAGGGCGTCCGCTTGTATGTAGATGCAGATATCATATAAATCATACACACAACCTGGTTTTTCCCCCAGGAATCCGATTCCGTGGATGCAAAAATCCAAGATGTGCCCTTAAAAACCAATGGTTTTGGGATGTTTGGGGTACCCGAAGTCTCAGCCCTAAGCCTCAGAAACAGCCATATGATTATATATACATATAATATTATATATACATATGTAGGTGTGTATATATATATATGTATAATAATATAATAATATATTAATATATTAATATATATACATTTATACATGATCATACAGATATATAAATGAACACACACTATATATATGTATATCAAGACACCCGCTACGGTTCGTGGTTTCACATGTTTTCAACACGCGTTTCCCACATTTTCCATACCTGCCTTGGATGATGATACTATTCAGACATGGTTCAGGGGTAACCAGCCCCAAAACTGTACGTAAATCATCAATCAATTTATCGTAAGCGGACAACAATCAACTTTACCTATAATTTTATCAATTTATCGCAAATCATCAATTTATCATCAATCAACTTTACCTATAATTTTTAGCAAGTTTTCTTATTTTCAGGTTTAGGGTATCCCGTATCTTAAAATGGAGAAGATGATGATTAACCATGATTTAGCTGTGATTCTTTGGGGTAATATCATGATAGGCCATGATTACATCGATAAACCATGATAAACCATGATAAACCATGATAAACCATGATAAACCATGATAAACCATGATAAACCATCAAGAGAGGATGATGATGAACTATGATTGTCTGGGTTATGTATTTGGGCTATAGCATATTTTTGGAAGGACCTGGACTCATATCGTTTGGGATGGGGTGGACCAGCATCATCCAGCATCATCCCAGATATCCCAGTTCGTAGAGGATCAATCTAGGTCAATCGTCTTTTGGTAATGGGATTACCTACGTTCACCAGCTAAGAATTGTTCTTTTTATGCAGGGTATCTGGCTGATTGGCAATGATATAAGAGGTGAATCATTGGGTTTTATGTCACTTGACCATGGTTGGTGAATATACTGTAACCATTTAATTTAGAGCTACTAATTCCGGAAAACCATCATCTATGCAAAAAGCCACGAGTAAATCAATGTCCTACGTTTGGCGGGCCCCGCAAACATAGAAATGTTTGTTGCTCGATTATCCCCATGACTACTATCGTTCGATATCTATATATAATATAATATATTATATATAATATATAGTATATATTATGTATTATATATATATGCTATATATATTATATTGTGTATATATATATATATGTATATTATACATATATATATATACATTATATATATATATATCCACCATAAACCATAGCATTCACCATCGAATTCACCTAGAATTCGCTTTTCCCCAGCGTTTTCCCCAACGGTTTGGCATCGGGCTGCACCGTGCAGGAGAAACCCAAGAAGGCTGTCCTGACACCTGCCTCCGCGGTGGACAAGGAGGCGCGCAAACGATTAAAAACGGAACATCTTCCACCTGGCAGGGTTGTCATAGTGAATTACTGGTGTATGTATAGTATATATGTATATATATTGATTCCACACACATATATGTATATATATATAATTATATATATATACACATGTACACTTATACATATATATATATGTATAATTTGATATACTTGAATATAAGGTGTTTTACTCTGTTTTACAAAGTGTTCTACTTTTCTATTTTGGTATCCCATGGAATATCATATATCCCATGAAAAAACCCGTTATATCCAGTTAAATCTGCCATCCACCTCCACCAACGGGAAAAATCCAGGACGACGACAGCAGCGAAACTGACAAGGCGAGCGGGTCCGGGTAGCCATACCCTCCATTAAACTAACATGGCTATTGAAAATGGCCCATTTATAGTTGATTTACCCAGTAAAAGTATCTAAAAACCGGTGATTTTCCATAGTTATGTTAGTTTACCAGAGGGTAGTCTTGAAATTATTAAATCAACTATAGTCAATTGAAAATTGTATTATATTGTAAGAATTGTTAAGAAAACTACCGTCTTCACAAAAATGCCATGAGGTGAATGATTGGTTTGGAACCTGGAAGTATTGATGGTGGATGGTTGCCATTGGATGGAGGAAGCCAGGTAACCCAGGCCCAGTTGTT